CAGCTGCTTGGATTGAGATGTCCTAAAATGTTTTAGTGTTCTTCAGCCCCCATATGTATATTTATACCATCTCCAGTGATTTTTTTCCTTTGCAGTTTTATGCCGCAATACTCTTCCTCTCCTTCACATCTGGAGATGTGACTGGAATCTGATACATAAATAATGTGCCCTTGTGTTACTGATTCAGTGTCCGGAGATGTGATGAGTTTACATTTATTTGTTTGGCAGATGCTTTTATCCAAAGTAACTTTAGAGTCCATTCAAGGTGTACATTTTATTAACACATGCGTTTCCTAGGGAATGTAAAACAGGACCTTGGTATTGCAAAAGTCATACATAACTCTTCAAACTCATCCCATGACATGCTTGTCTCTGCATTTGATTTGATGGCATGAAGTGCAAATAATTCTATGTAATTTTACACGTCCTTCTGACTTTGGTCCACAGGTGAGGCGTATATGAGGCTGAATAATCTAGAGGAGGCAGGGCATTGGTACAGAGAGTCACTGAAGGCCAAACCTGACCATATTCCTGCCCACCTGACCTATGGAAAACTGCTGTCTGTCATGGTGAGTCAAGCTGACAAGTGCATTAATACCCCTTTGTGTTTGTGAGCTTTTCTTCTGCCAAACGGTCATTGTGAATGACATGTGGAAGATAAAACAAAATAGTGGTGGTGCCTAAAAATGCGAGACCGCATTGAAAATCTGCAATTAATAAGTAATATTTAAACCTACAATTTATTAATTTATTTACTTGCACTTACAATTGCAATGGTTAAGCCAAGAATTATTCATTTATTTATTTATTGTATTTTTATATTCATGTTTAGGTCAAATAGAAGCATTTTTACTAGTGGTCTCAGGCTTTTCTGCTGTATTTTTAACTCACTATTGCTGCTATTAAATTTTCAGTATGAATGTAAAAACCTGAAGCTAAATGGATTTGAGAAAGCATAGTTAAATATTAAATACATTCAGTTTTCATTTCAAACTTGAAAAGGGGAGACCAAGTGGAAAGAAGAGACCAAAGATATCTGGTTATTAAAATCATTTGAGTCACAGATGACCCTTCATGAGCCTCTTAATGCTGAGGTTTCTTTTAATTGCTTTGTCCTTGAGAGGAACATTAACACAAAAATGTCTCTCAGACACGAACATCACTGTTATGATGCCTTTAAAAATCTGCATACGATATAACAGTCGTCCAGTCGCTTGTGATATTTTCCTCTCTGACCACTATGATGTAAACGGAGAGATGTGATGAAGAAAGGTCGAGCAGCTGCGTCCCCCCCAGGACGTGATATCTCATATCCTCCCTCTAATCTGATTTGGGTTTGTGTCCCGGCACGGCTGGTCAAGAGTCCAGACTCTTGCCTCAAACCTGTTTGCTCGCTTTAAATTCCCCTCACTGGCCTGTGTGCCTAATAAACAGCTTAAAACCAGTTATTATCCCTCAAGCACCGCGTTTAATGTAATTACTCTTTCCTTATTGAAAACAGGTTACTGGTGAACTTTTGACCAGCTGTCGAGGAACTGCAGTGTATTTGCTGGGTTACTCTGTGTCAAGCTGTCAGGACAGCGTCAGACAAAATGACTGAAGTTATGGCATGCTGTATTTGAACGATTCAGACATTTACTGTTCTGTCCAGCCTTGTGTAGAGTTTCGCAGTCTGTTTTGAACTTCTATTGGAATTATGTTTCTGAAAACCTCTAAAGCTATTTTAAATCGTGGATTGAGGCTAAAACAATAGCTTGTTTTGTATTTTCCCTTTTGGATTCAAATCTGAAGCTATTTAGTGCTTTTTGAAACCTTGACTTATAGGCCTGTACATTTGATAAACGTTCTTGGATGTAGTTGAATGCTTTTCAGGAACCGTAGCAAAGGAGAGCATGAAATGCTACAGCTTTCCAAGGTACTACTTTATCCTCTTATCAGAGTTGTTTGCCACAGAACCGTTCAGTAAATTAAGCATAATATAACCTCACTGCTTATGACAAGAACATGCAAAGGTAACACCAACATGGAAGCAATCAGCACTGAACTGTAAAGGAAGTGTACTTTATTAGAAAGTGTACTAACCATAAAAAAGGTATACTTTCCCCACACTTTGATGATGTCTAGCATCATATAAAGCACAAAATTAAAGGGTCTGGTTATGATTGTGTCCCTTCATTAATAATGTTGGGTGCAGGTGTAATTATTTCTTAATTTCTCCACAGGGACAGAAGTCTGAAGCAGAGCATTACTTCCTGAAGGCAATAAAGCTGGATCCTGCGAGAGGAAACTGCTATATGCATTACGGTACAATCTGATTTCCTTTCTGACTGATTTGCTTCCCTTCTAATTTTTAAAAAATATTTTTTGATATACACTTGATATTTTATTTGATAGTGTCTTTAAATATTCCACCATTTATTTATTTTATTTTTTAATAAAATGTATTATTATTACTATTATTAAATATAGTTTGTTTTTCCTGTTTATTATTATTATTATTACACAGAATTTATGTAAATGTTTTTAAAATTTAGAATTCTTTTATAATATTATATATTGTAATTTATTATGATTATTTATTACAGTTATGATTATTTTTATATACTGATTTTATATACTTAGGTTCACTATGCCTCATGTCCTTCATGCTCCACTCTTCCTTTCTTTGTCTCTGTGTGTTTTTGGAAGCTTGTGCTGCGTATCTGCACTGATCTCTGACTGTTCGACCTGCGGGCTTCTGGCCTGCTGTGTTTGAGTTGTTTTCAATCCTGTGAGCTCCTCTTTCTTTCTTTCTTGTCTGTCAGGTCAGTTTCTGTTGGAAGAGTCTCGTCTGGGAGAG